AGGCGAATTTTGCAAACGGCAAGACGGAGTGGGAGCGAGAGTACCGGCGATGGAAACAAATGGTGGAAGATGAGAAAAGCAACATACAAGAGCGCTTTGGTCGCGTTCTCGCAGAGCTACGGGAGGCTACCGTGCAGCTAGCCGAAGAGGAACGTGATGCCAAAGCAGAACAAACATCCATGGTGTCGTGGTTTCGCACGGCAAGCGAAAGTGCACATGCAGAAGTAAGTCAACTGCGTCAGCGCGAGGAGGATCTTAGGGGACGACACGAGGTGATGGTAAAACTCCTCAATGACTTTCAACGGACGACGGAGCAGGTAGATGAACAGTGGCGGCAGTTGCGGCAAGAGCGTCAAGACCTTATGAAAGAGAGCGAAGCGCTGCGGAGTGATGAAATGCAGCTACGGCAGTCCAGGCAGTACCTGCATCTCCTCCAAGAACAGCTCGATGCCAAACGTATAGAGACGGCAGAGGGCCATGGGCGCGTAAATGCGCTTCGGCGCGAGCTACAGCTCTCCAAAGAAGCGGTGGAAAATTTACCAGGGCAGATGCCTGAAGCCCGTCACCAAATGCTGCCCGCTGCGCCGCCAAACTTCTGCCACGCCATGCCAGCTGCCAGACAAAATGCCAACCGATTGCCACTGCGTGTGCTTCACGAATTACGCGGAATGCTTGGAAAGAAGAGCCGGCAGATTCCACTCAGGGCGGTGGTTTCAGAATCACCTGAGCCCGCGGTTGACCTTACATTTGCCTCTACCGCCGCGGAAACCAGCCCAGTGCACCGCCGGATGGCACCACAACACGAACAGCCACGTTCCTATCAGACTGGCAAGCCAGAGCACACGTATGTTGACCCGGTTGACAGCTCGAGAGACACCTCGACGCACCTATACGACACCTCAAACAATAATTTCACGAGCCTCATCAACTTCTCAGACACGGAGTCAACACGTCACTCACTTCATACTTCATCATAGAAAAGAAAGAAAAAAAACAAAGCGGGCGTGTTTAAAGACAGCAATCAACACCGTGATTGCCAACAAATTGCTTTAAGCTTGTTGCTTTTACCAGTATATAAGATCGAACCGTTTTTTTTTTTTTTTTTTTTTTTTTTTTATGCTGCGGGAACGGTTTCCTAACAAACAACATGTACTCTGTTCTATTTATTCTTCTTGCGCCCCAAAAAACAAAGGCATTCACAGGAAGGAACTCTATACATAATGCGACGTCGCTGATGCATAACACGATATTCAGGTAAAATATGGCATGACCCACTGAATGAGACATCATCATGCACCACTCTGACGGACGTCCTGCGGCCCTCTCCTCCCTTCCTTGCATCTTATTTTTTTTTTTCCTTATTTTTATCTTCTCACCGCAGTATCGCTCCAGTCCTTCGTCCCCTGCGAGCATCGGGACCATGCGCTGTGCTGCCTCGCCTGGCTGCGCGCCATCTGTGATGCCACGAAATGACATTATTCAAAAGCACAGTTTGATCTGATACACGCGGACGAGAACGTCGCTACGATTGCTGACTGGGCGCATGCAAGCCGCGGGCATATGCCGCGACGCACAATTTACACGGACCCGCCCTGGTGTTCTACCTTGGTGCCGGTGGTGTCCGCCAGTGTTGTGCAAGAGGAAACTGAGGCGGCCACCACTGTGATGCGACGCTGTACTTCGTAGGGTAAAATCTGACACCGACCATGACGGTACGAAGCTGGCGCGGGCAGGCACTACCCCAGTGGTGGGCGCTGCTTGCGCGTTGTCTGAGACGGTGTCGCCAAATCCGCGCTGTTAGCACCACCTCCCTCTTCCCCCGTGCCCCACCTTGTTGGAATTCGGCCGAAGCAGTGCCCTCAGGTAATGTGGTGGTTGCGATTCCGTCAGCACCGCAGGTTCAAGAGGCACGAGATGTATTTCCCGCGGCTGCAGGGAGAAGCGGAGGAGGCGCCTCTTTTTCTCTCTTTCTGTGTTTGTATGCGTTTGCGACGTCGCTGATGCATAACACGATATTCAGGTAAAATATGGCATGACCCACTGAATGAGACATCATCATGCACCACTCTGACGGACGTCCTGCGGCCCTCTCCTCCCTTCCTTGCATCTTATTTTTTTTTTTTCCTTATTTTTATCTTCTCACCGGAGTATCGCTCCAGTCCTTCGCCCCTGCGAGCATCGGGACCATGCGCTGTGCTGCCTCGCCTGGCTGCGCGCCATCTGTGATGCCACGAAATGACATTATTCAAAAGCACAGTTTGATCTGATAGTGGGCGTTATACTGAAATGTTTTTCTTTTTGTTGGTTTTATTTTAGGATTTGAAGTTGTTGTTTAACGAAAAAAAAAGAATATCAGAATGTCCTCCCAGAAGCATTTGGTTTCCGACTTTACTGAGGGATCGGGTTCCTGGCAAGATCAAACTTATGGATTCGACACCGTTCTTGTGCATGGGGGTGTGAAGCCTGATCCTGTGACAGGGGCTGTGCTTACGCCCGTGTATCAAAGCACAACTTTTGTGCAGGAGTCTATTGGTAAATACCAAAGTAAAGGGTACAGTTACACCCGCAGCGCAAATCCAACGGTCTCGGTGTTGGAGCGAAAGCTGTGTGCCATTGAAAACGGTGACTATGCTACGGTGTACAGCACAGGCATGTCTGCGACCACCACGGCTATTTCTTCTTTTATGAGTGCGGGTGATCATGCGATTATCACCGATTGCAGTTACGGTGGCACGAACCGTGCGTGCCGTGTTTTTTTTCCACGTTTTGGTATGGAATTTACGTTTGTCGATATGCGTGATCTAAAAAATGTGGAGGCTGCCATCAAGCCAAACACAAAGTTGGTTCTTTCGGAGACGCCAGCAAACCCAACGTTGACCCTT